CACCGGGCTTCAGGCTGACCCTGGACCTGGCAGGCCTCCAGCTAGAAGCAAGACATCTGGTGACCCATCAAGGAGCCCCAGGACAGGGGAGGAGAGGAGACAGGGGGAGGGGCAGGTGACAAGGAATAGGGTAATGGAGAGAGAGGTTGCTTTTAGTTGCAGGGTCCCAGAAAGACTAAGCCAGAGTCTAACGAAATAGAGAGAGCTGGGCATCAGTTACCTTTATACATACGATGGCACCTGCAGACACAGGTCAGTCATGAGCAGAGACAGGCAAGGGGAGAAGTCCCTCCTTCTGTCCCCAGAGCACGGTGGCATTAGCAATGGGATGAGACAACTGTACCCCCCTACCCCAGGGCTGTCTTAGCCGCTTTCTTCAGTTAGCCCTGATCCTGTGTCTACCTTGAGCCTAGAACCTGACTCTGGTGGCAGACTGAGCCTTCACTCTCCAGGCAGGGCAGGTGGACTGGCCCTCAGAGAACCGGAGGAGATTCCAGATGGCTCGCTCTCTCTCCTCCCCCTCCTCAGAGTTGGATGACAGCTCTGAACTGTGGGCGTTGGAGATGGGTCTCGGCTGAGTGACTGCTGACAGCTGGGCCCAGGGTGGATCATGGGTGGCTTATTTTCTGACCTTCCGGGGACCAGACACAAAATAGGCCTCCTGGTACTGCATGTAGCAGGTACCTAAGGGATGTCAGCGCTCTTTCTGAGCCCCACCCTGGCCTCTCAGAGTTGCAGCTCCCCTCCCCCACCTGGCCTCATGTGGTCCAATCACCTCCCACTCTAAGGAGGCTGTGAACTGCCAGGTGCACTCCCCAGCCTTTCTTAACCCAGATACACCACGGCAGGCGCCTCCACTCGGTACCCCCAGCTGACTGCCAGCTAACCCCTCAGAGGTGTTAGCTGATAATGAAGACATTAGCTGTAAGCTGAAGTGTGGTTCCCTGCCAGGAGTATTTTGGTCTTTCCGGGTTGGTTTTGGAAATGGGAAAACCTTCCAGACCTAGCCAAATGGCAGACATGGATACATACAAAGGGGGTGTAGGGTACAGTTGGTGACAGAGCCTTCTACCTGAGAGGAACAGGACATAGGCCTTCTAGTTTAGAAGCATCCCAAGAAGGTGACCCCACTAGTCGAGGTATGAAGCACTTCGAGCCTCAGTTTCCCCGGTCCCTGACTTCCTTCTCCCCGTTTCTCCCCACCCCTCGCTCCTCTACCACCCCAGTTCCCCAAGTCCTTCCAGAGCAAAGGTCAACGGGCTGGTAGAGTGATAGATATGAGGGCTGGGCACAGTGGCCGAGGCTGCAGCACAGGAGGAAGGGCCTTTCCTCACTGACCGCCTCCTGTTGTGGTCTGAATGAGAAGTGTCTCCACATAGTCAATACTTGGTTCCCAGCAAGTGGAGCAGTTGTGCGTGTGTGCGTGCGTGCGTGCGTGCGTGTATGTGTGTGTGTGTGTGTGTGTGTGTGTGTGTGTGTGTGTGTGTATGCAGGGTAGTGGGCCCCTTAGGAGGTGCACCTTACTGGAGGAAGTACGTCACTGGGGTGGGCTTTCAAGGGTCACAGCCTCATCCCACTCTGTTTTCTCTGTTCCCTGTTAGTGGTTGACATGTGATCTCTTGCTTCCTGTTCCTGCTGGCATGCTGTGCCTGCCTGTTGTCATGATGTCCCAAGATTTTGGACTCTCTCTCTCTCTCTCTCTCTGGAACCATAAGCCAAAATAAAATCTCCCTTGTGGTCATAATGTTTTATCACAGCAACAGAGAAATAACTGGTACAGATCCCTACCTCAAACCATGCACTTCAGATACACCAGCAGTTTAAATACAGTTAAATCTTGTAAACAACTAGAAAACATATAGGACAGGTTTTTTTTTGGGTGGGGTTTCGAGACAGGGTTTCTCTGTATTGTTTTGGAGGCTGTCCTGGAACTCGCTCTATAAACCAAGCTGGCCTCGAACTCACAGAGATCTGCCTGCCTCTGCCTCCCAAATGCTGGGATTAAAGCATGCACCACCAACACCTGGCTTGTTTTGTTTTTTAAAAAGCAGAAACTTTAGGGGAAAAGAGTGACATGTTAGACTATAGGAAAACGTTGAACTTGGGTGAGGTTTATAAATTTAAATGAAACAAAAGGTATACAGGAAACAATCTATGAAAAACTATTTACAATACAATTCAAAGAGTTGAGTCTCTTCACAAATCAATAGAACATTTCAATGCCTCTGCCTGCCCCCCATCCACTGGTGGGGTCTCACTGAACTCCACTCCATCTTGAAGCCCACCTGACACATGAGGAGAGCACATCTTGTCTTTGACCTATGCATGTTTCTCTCCACCCTTGGGCTCCTGCTCAGCCGTCCTGGGTTCCCTCTCTTCTCCCAGCCCCTAGCCAGCAGAGGTCCTGGGCCTTCTCTCTCTGTCTTTGCTGACTCCTGCTCTGCTCTCACTTAATCTCAAGACATCAAATACAATCTTTAAGATGATGACCACAAATCTGTGTCTCCAGTTCAAAACTGTCCCCAGAGCTACAGCCTCGTACCTCTGCCAACCCCACAGTTCCCCATGGAGGGCTGTTGGTGTCACACCCTTTAATATGTCCACAGTCAGGACTGGCTCACAGGCATGCCACTTGGGCCTATCACTCAGAATGGTCCTATGCTTGGCTAGTACTCTCCTGTCCCAAGTCACTTAGAAATTTAAAAAGGAAAGTCATGCATTTTCATACACAGTCGCCCGTTCTCTCTACAGACGGGTCCCTTCCCTTCAGCTCCATCTTGTTCACTTCTGGTGGATTGGGTATCCCTAATCTGAAAATCCAAATCCCAGACTTCTGAGCTGCTACCACGATGCCACAGGCAGAGAAGGCCATGCTGTGGTACTGGGGATGTAGAATACTTTCCTGGCATGCTCGAGCCTTGGGTTCAATCCCCAGCACTACATGAATCAGGGATAGTGGCACATGCCTGTAATCCTAGCACTTTGGAAGAGGAGGCAGGAGGGTCACATCCTGATATTATCCAGGTCACCCATACCCGTCTCCTGCTGTGTGTGTATTTTGTTAATTATCTTATGTGTAGATGTTTTGCCTTTATGTATTTGTGTACCATGTGCATGCAGTACCCTGGAGTCCAGAAGATGGCATCAGATCCTCTGGAATTAGAGTCACAGATGATTGTGAGCCACCGTGTGGGTGCTGGGACTCAAACCTAGGTCTTCTGGAAGAGCAGACAGTGTGCTTAACCAATGAGCCTCTTCTCTCCAGCTCCTCCTGCTATTCTTTTTCTTCCTAAAACTCTAGTACACATATTATCTTTCATGATCCATCTGCTTTTCCTCCATTAAAGCATAAGTTCCACATAGAAGGCATTTTGGGTCAGTTCGGTTCACAGTTATGTTCTTAAGCAAACCAGTGTTCAACACAAACAAGGTGCCTGGAAAATATCTACTGAATAAACGGATGTTGGCAGAGAGAAATGGGCAGAAGGCCTGACTGGAGGCAACTCACCAGCAGAGACTCAGAAATGGCCAATGGATACATATATCATTAGTGATTGGAGAAATGTAAAGTAAAATCATTTTCTCCTATCATTAGTGACTGGAGGAATGTAAAGTAAAATCATTTTCTCCTATCAGATTGACAGGAATGTAAGTGACCGCTAATGACGGTAGCTGGGAAGGACAGCTTTGTACACAGCCTATGGGAATGTGAGACAGCCCAACCTCCCCAAAGTATCTGGCTGTACGGAACAGATCAAATGTGGAAAGATACACATTCCCTGACTTGGGTAGACCACTTCCAAAAACATTTTGAAGGTCTCACGGTGCAAGTGTACACAGATGTACAAACCCAGAGCTTCCTTGGGTGAGGCTTATAAATAGCCAAATGCGGGAAACCACCTAAATGGCCCCAACAGAATTAATAATTGATGAAGAATTTACAGGCCATCTACACAATGGAAATGAAAGCGAAGATTTCCATGGCTAAAATCTGGGTGGTCCACATGTTTGGAAAAAAATATGGTGATGGAGCTTCTGGTATGGTCGTACATTTTTGCTTTTAAAATAGGTTTGTAAGCACGTGGGAGAAAGTTCAGAAGGACAAGTATCAAATGCCTTAGCAGTGATAAGTTAGTCCCTGGGAGGAAGGGCTCCAACTGCATGCTTTTAATTAGCCAGGTAGGCAGCTGGGTAGGAGATGTACTATTTTAATGCTGGGAAGATGCCTCCACCTAGGACACAAACATCCTGTGCCTCCCCTGGGTAAAAGGAGGCAGGAGGACGCCATTCCAAGGCCCACGTTACCCTGCCCTGTCTCATCCCTGTGGCCTCTCTCTTTCACCTTCCGCAGTCTGGGTTCTTACTATTCCTGACTCCTTTCACAGCCCTACACCCGTCTCACAGCCCTGTTCACAGACCCAGCTAGCCCTGCCCCATGACCTCCTCAGCCCAGCTCTGCTGTTAGGATCCAGAAAGGGAAAGCCAAGAATCCTGCTACACTCTTCAGGACCAGAACTGTGATCTCAGTCTCAGAACTCTAGCCCCAGGGCAGTTTGGGGGGGCAATGACTGTGGCCTAAGCAGGCCAACTGCCTCTGGTTGCACAATGGTCAGAGCAGGGGATGGATGGGCCACTCCTGGGACTGAGGGAGGGCCCCTCCCGCAAGGGAGGAGCCCTATAGAGAGTTGGGAATTTCCAGGTAAGAGCTGTCAGGTGGTACCAAGCATTCAAAAGCCAGAGTGATAGCAGAGGAGCTGCAGGAGCTGAGCCTCCTGTGGTGGGAGTACTTGGCAGGTGTTCATGGCATCCAGATCCTGAGAGCCAAGCTGGGCCTCTCTGAGCAAGCACCTGCTGCAGAGACTTGAAGCCCTAGATTGGGTACCCTGCTGTGGCAGGGGTTCGCTCACTGAGGGCTGTCTTGGTCGGGACCTGGTCGTCACACTGAGCCTTCATACCCCAGAACAACACAGGCACAGTGAGTTGCCTTGTTCCCTCCCTACCTGGGTCAGATGGCACAGGGAGTCAAACAGAGGCTCTGCCAGAGGCCTGGGGAACAGCAGCCTTCAGGTCTCAGCATGCACTGTAGGGGAAGAACGGGGAGGTTAGTGTGACACAGATGGGCTCCCAGCTACCCTGGAGTGGGTGGCCCTGGAGCGATCCTGCTGCCTAGCACACAGGGCTCGTGCCACAGATATTAGGCCTCTGGACATCAGCCTCCATCCCCATCCCCTAGCCCACTTGAGTACAATTACCCACCCCGAGTGACCGTATCTTAGAAGCAGACTTCCTGTTCAGCCCATTCTTCCCCACCGTCTGCCTCGACGGTCCAAGGGTCGGCCCACCTGGGCTTCATTGGCACCCGCCGTGCGCACGACAGTCCCTGCTCCCCAAGTCCTCTTTACCATCTCCATGTTGCCCATCAAATCTGTCCCCTGCCTGCTTGAAGCTTCACTAGTTTATCCTCAGCCCTTAGCACCCAGGATGTCTAACCTCTAATCCACCATCGCACGACACCAGCAGTGAGGCCCGCACTGCCGGCCACCAGGTTTCCTGCCTTGGCCTGTGGGCCTGTGGCTCGCCAACATACTCTTTTGGGACTCACTTCCCATGCTGTGTGGCACCCCACCCTCCTCTTAGCCGTGGTCCCAGCATCGTCTCCCTTACACTCCTCTCCCAGATCATCACACTGTTGTCCTAGTCATTCCACCTGTTCCCCTCAGAGCATGGCCCTCAGGCCCTGTCCTTTTCCCTCAGCCCAGACTGTCTCAATGCCTTTACCTGGCTCCTCCTCACCTGGGCCTCAGCCCAAGGCAGCACCACACAGAATGAGGAGGGCGTGAAGGCCTCCTCCACATGCATGCCACCTGTCTGTCTCAACAGTTTTATAGAACACTGTCGCCCAGGCCCAGTAACTGAGGTATAATTACCGTGCAGTGCACCTTACCCTTTCTAGGGCACAGATCTGTGAGTCTTAACAACTGTACAGGCATGTGGCTACCACCACAATCAAGATAGGGAACAATTCAATCCCATGGGCCGTCCTTTTGTAACCAATGTCTCCCTAACCACTGGTAACTACTGACCTGTTTCTGTCCCTGCATTTTTGCTTTCTCCAGTGTCTACAAATAGACACAGATGTGGAGCCTCACGTCTGGTTCTATTCACTTAACACAATGCCTTTGAGATTTATCTGTGCTGTCTTATGTCAGGATCTTATTCCTTTTTATTGCTGAGTAGTATTCCATTATTTATCTACTCACTGGCTAAAGAGCACTTGTGTTGTTAACCAGTTTGTGTAGAGTACGAATGATGCCACTGTAACTGTTCAGATGGGTTTCTACATGAGTGAAGCTGTGCCTCTAGATAAGCACCTAGCAGGAGCACTGTGAGATTGGGCGCTAAGTTTCCATTGTAAGAAACCACCTTGTGTTTTTGCAAAGTGGCTGCACTATCTTGGATTTCCATGAGCAAACTTTGAGAGCTCCAGTTGCTCTGTGTCCTCTCTGACACTTTGTACTGTCACAATGTTCAGGTGTCAGTGCAACAATAGTGTAGCAGCATCTCACTTGGTTGGTTGTAGTTTGTGTCCTCCCCCTCCTTTCCCCACCTGTCCCCTCCTCCCCCACCTCCTCCCTGTACTGATGGCTGTGAGCATCTTCTCTTACGCCTCATTCATTTTCTAGCACCAATCTGATAGGAAACTTTCTTCTTAGTTTAATTATTTTATGTGTGTTTTGCCGTCCTGAATGTCTGCACATCATACGTGTACCTGGTATCCATGGAGATCAGAAGAGACTGTCAGATCCCCTGGATCTGGAGTTCCAGATGGATGTGAGCCTCCATGTGGATGTTGGGAATCAAACCCAGGCCCTCTGGTGAATAGCCAGTGCTCTTAACCCCTGAGCTGTCTCTCCAGCCCCTACTTTAATTATTTACATATTTGATTCCCATTTACTCCATCACTATCTGGTGCTGAATGATGGTGGCACTGGTAGCTGGCACCCATAGCGCCCTCCCTGTGCACTGTTCTACAAAATACTTGCTCATTTAAGCCTCATAACCAGGCTAAGAGATGGATACCGTCTATAGTTCCACTGGTTTTGTTCCTTTTGTGTTGCTGGGGATACAGCCTGGGTCCCTGAACAAGTTGGGCAAGCCCTTTACACTGAACTACACCCCAAACCCTCCAGTATTCTCACTCTGCACAGGAGAAAACAGAGACAAAGAAGGAATTAGCCCACAGTCACACAGGTAACAAGAGGCAGAGCCAAGCTTTCATCCTGATATTCAGGACTCAGAGCCAATTATCCTAAGCAGGACATTACATGAACCACAACAGCCATGTAACAAATCGAAGGCAGGACGAACAAACAGGAAGCCACAGCCTTGGCCTTTGCTGTTCTGACAGTGATCCTGTAATGGCCTTGGGAACAAAGTGTGTTCCCACCGAAGCACATGCTGTCTGCTCTCTATAGTTATCTGGGCCACAAGGTCAATAGGTGGTGAGCTGAAGCAAGGAGTGACACTACTGTACCACTAAGCATTTCAGAGCTTTGTATGGCCCCTGCCATTGCCCTGTCCCCAACTCCTCACACAGAGACTGAGACCACATGGTGAAGAGGCTTCTAGCCTTGGGGCTGGGATCAGCTCTCAGAAAGACCCCAACTCAGCTGCCTGGAGTAGATCATAGAGGGAAAGGAGAAATCCATAGGGCTTTGGTACTGCTAACTTAATTGTAGGCTTATATTTCAAACTCATTGGCGCTTTACTTGGCAATTATCACTTTAGATGCGGTGTGCTCCTGTGGGAGCGCAGAACGGGGGAAAGAGGCAGTCCCCCAGCCCCAAGACAACTTGTGCACAAGATAACATGCACACTGGCAGGGGAAAGGCCTTAGAGTTCGTATATACCCTCCCGCTTCTTACTTTTTCTAAGAAACGAGACAAGAGTGCCGTGGAATGCCCCCTCTTCAAAGTAGCAGGTGCCATTTGGCTCCTCATAGGCTGTTAGACTCTTCTGTTACGAGTTCTCTCGGCAAACTCGGTTTGTCTCGTGACTGGGTGATGACGCCCATGCATGCATCCACAGGCCTACCTGGCTTCGAGCTCCACCAGGGGTGCTGTAAACCGTAGCATCATTTGTAAAGCTCCTTGCAGGGCTCTGGATGTGCTGGGGACTGGGTTGGCGTGGAGGTTGTTCAAGGTAAAGATGCCCCTGGAGCGAGGGGTGGGTTGAGTGGGGACCAGGGGACCTGGGTACAGGGCTTCCAGAAGACGGCTGTGAAGGAGCCTCAGCCTGTGTAGTGACAGCTTCCGTCAGGTGTGGCCATTCAACCTAGGACCAAATGGCATCCTAACACCTCTTAAATTTTATTTTATGTGCATGGTTTTTGCCTGTATATCTCTATAGCACTGCATGCAGTACCCTCAGTGGTCAGAGAAGGGTGCTGGATTCCCTGGAACTGGAGTTACAGAAGTTGTGAGCTTCCTTGTGAGCACTGGGAATCAAACCTGGGTCCCCTAGAAAAGTGACCAGTGCTCCTCACCACTGAGCCATCTCTCCATTTCAGCATCCCATCCCGGTTTTGGTGAAGAACAGACTGCCCTGGACAACCGAGACACCACCAGCAGCAATGACCACCCTTTCCTTCCCTAGGCTTTCCCTACTGGCTGGGAAATCCAAAAAACAAAAACAAACAAGCAAAAAACAAAATTAGTGATGTCTGTGAGCATTGGCATTTTCATGGCTGCCGGCCTGAGAATTCCTACAATTGAGAGACCTCACAGCCACAATCGAGATCACAGGATGTACCCAAATGGGCACAGGTGGAGGGGCCATACACTGAATTCACTATGTATTCTACTCCTAGGTGTTGAGAGGAACTTTTCCTGGGGTCGGGTTTTGGGATTGGCTTGGGGCTAGAGCAGCCAGGCTAGGTCAGCTCAGATCATGTGCCGCTGAACACGCTTGCTCAGGGAATGGGGGTCTTCACCTTGGACTTCATGGTCTGATTCTCAGAGACTGGGCCATGATGGATGAATAGGCAGGCTTGCAGAAACGCCTGACCAGAGTGGCCACAAGAGAAGCCCAGAGGACACTCTAAATGCTCTCCTTTGATTTTTCTTTCCTAGAGGATTGGACTTTAATTCAGTCTGGCAACAGTTTGAGACTAAAAGCAGAAGACAAAGGTTCAAGGCAAATGGTGAGAAGATTCCTAGGCGATCAGGGCATAGGAATGAGGTTGATGGTGGAGGGACAGGAGGAGGCAAAGTGTGAAGCCACTGCCAGCACCGTCATCGCCACCGTCATCGCCACCACAGATGCACCAGTGAGCCCCCATGTTAAGCGTACTGACTCACGCTGCCCACAGACACCCGAGGAGGTGGGTACTGTGATCATACCGCTCTCAGGATGGAGGACAGAAGGACAAAAAGATGAAGTTTCTCAGAAGAACAGAGCCACACATCAAACACAGACTCCATAATTGTCCTTAAGAGTCCCTGATGATTCTAGTTGGTCACATTAGAGATGAGAGAAGGCCACGGCAGGAATTCTGTGTGGGTGAAGTTGGGTCAGAGATACAACAAACAAACTTCTTTGCTCCATTTAGTAGCTCTCTGACCCTCAGTGAGTAATGTAATGTCTCTGGGTCTAGTTCCTTATAGAAAAGCCAAGTTTCCTGTGGTAATAGGGGAGAGACTGGAGGAAAGAGGGAAGAGACAGACAGACAGACAGAGACACACACACACAGAGGCAATACATATACTCCTCAAAAATAGACACCCTCCCCCAACTAGGCCACAGTACAGATGTGACACTGTCCAGAACGTCTAAGCATGTTCACAGAGCATACACATGTGTACATGTATGTGCTCGTATGTCTGTGTCTTGCAGAGGAGAGCACTCATACACACCACACACTTCCCTCCCTAGTCCTCTCCCTCACTGATGTGGTGGCACCAGCCACTCAGTCACCAAGCCCATCACCGTGTTTTCCCCCTTTCCCTCTGGCCATCACATCCTGTCACCGTGGCCAGTCAGTTCTAGAACAGCTTCTTCGAGCTCAACCTCTCCCTCATT